GGAGAACTGAAAAGTGGTTACACAGGGAAAACACAGAACAACAAAACACACATCCTCACAGTACCCCACCTCAATGAATCATCACCTGACGATTAACGGACAAGCACGGGTGGGAGGTGGGGGGTATGATAACACAAAGACAGGACGGAGGGCACGAGACAAAAGACAATGAAGGGAACACAAAAACAGAAAACGAAACCAAAAACTGACAGGTAAGTCCTGGGGGAAAAAAACAACAAAAATAGTCACTAGATGGCCCTAGGCACATCTGAAGAGGGAAGAAATTTCAGGTGGGCGCTGAGGAACCCAGCACAGATGAGGAAGGAATTCTGTTGGGCGACCATGGGCACCGCCGCAGCGTAGGCGGAGCTCTGGAGGGTGACCGTGCGCACAGCCGCAGCGGAGGCGGAGCTCTGGAGGGCGACTGTGGACTCGGTCACAGCGGAGGTGGGGCTCTGGAGGGTGACCGTGGACTCGGCCGCAATGGAGGCGGAGCTCAGTTGGGCGAATTTGAGCTCGGCCACGGTGAGGATGAAGCTGGTGGGCGACCTGGAACTCGGCCACGATGAAGATGGAGCTCTGGAGACTCTGCAGGGGTCGGCTCAGGAGACTCTGCAGGGGCCAGCTCAGGATGGAGACCTCTGCTACAGATGGCGAGGAGACCTCAGCTGTTGACTGGTTCATTCTGTTAGGTTGACGCGAAGGAATGAACCCAAATCCGAACGGAGGTAAGTGTTTTAAGAAAAATATTTATTTTAACAAAAATAAAACTAAAAGCTGTCAGGGCAGCTAAATAAAACTTAAAGAATGACAAGGAGAAGACAAGAAAAAACATAGTTGGTGGAGAAGCCAAACAATGAACCAGTGAGTGTGTAGAGGACAAGACCAGTATTTAAACAGACAGAGGGAGAGGGAAAATTACAAACACCTGGAGGGAGAACTGATTGGGGATTGCAGACAGGTGAGGATGGTTTACTAGAAGGACCTAGAAACAAGCTGAGGAGAACTGAAAAGTGGTTACACAGGGAAACAAAGAACAACAAAACACATTACCAGGGAGGCTCTGAAGTGTGATCCCTCTATAGTTGGAACACACTCTGTGGTCCCCCTTTTTAAAAAGTATACCACTACTACTACTACTACTACTACTAGGATACTAGTACTACTATTATAGAATACTTTTTAAATAGTCTGCCAATCCAGAGGAACTGCCCCCGATGTCCACGCGATATTGTAGAGTCGCGTCAACCAATGCAACTCCACAACAGCCAGAGTGTTAAGTATCTCCCGGCGAATACCATCCACCCCCGGCACCCTGCCACCGAGGAGCTTTTTAACCACCTCGGTGACCTTGGCACCAGAGATTGGAGAGTCCGACCCAGAGTCCCCAGGCTCTGCTTCCTCATGGGAAGATGTGTTGGTAGGATTGAGGAGGTCTTCAAAGTATTCCGCCCACCGACCCACAACGTCCCGAGTTGATGTCAGCAGCGCACCATCTCTACCATAAATAGTGTTGGTGGCGAAAAACTTTCGCCCTGAGATGCCGGATGGTGGACCAGAATCTCCTCGAAGCCATACGGAAATCGTTTTCCATGGCCTCTCCAAACTCCTCCCATATCCGAGTTTTTGCCTCAGCGACCATCCAAGCCGCAATCTGCTTGGACTGCTGATACCTATCAACTGCTTCCAGAGTCCTACGGGCCAAAAAGACCCAATAGGACTCCTTCTTCAGCCTCACAGCATCCCTCACCGCTGGTGTCCACCAGCGGGTTCGAGGGTTGCTGCCATGACAAGCACCGACAACCTTATGGCCACAGCTCAGGTAAGCCGCCTTGACAATGGAGACATGGAACATGGCCCACTCTGACTCAATGTCCCCCACCTCCCCCGGAACATGTTCGAAGTTCCCCCGGAGATGTGAGTTGACACTCCATCTGACGGGAAACTCTGACAGATGTTCCCAGCAGACCCTCACTATACATTTGGGTCTGCCAGGTCTGACCGGCATCCTCCCCCACCGACAGAGCCAAATCACTACCAGGTAGTGGTCAGCTGACAGCTCCGCCCCTCTCTTCACCCGAGTGTCCAAAACATGTGGCCGCAGATCAGATGAAACGACAACAAAGTCGATCATCGAACTGCGGCCTAGGGTGTCCTGGTGCCAAGAGCACATATAGACACCCTTATGCTTGAACATGGTGTTCATTATGGACAATCCATGACGAGCACAGAAGTCCAATAACAAAACACGGCTCGGGTTCAGATTGGGGGGGGGGGGGTACGTTCCTCCCAAACACGCCTCTCCAGGTCTCACTGTCATTACCCACGTGAGCGTTGAAGTCCCCCAGCAGAACGAGGGAGTCCCCGTTAGGAGCGTTCTCAAGCACCTCCTCCAAGGACTCCAGAAAGGGTGGGTAATCTGAACTGCAGTTAGGCGCATAGGCACAAACAACAGTCAGGACCTGTCCCCCCACCCATAGGTGGAGGGAGGCTACCCTCTTGTTCACCAGGGTGAACCCCAATGTACAGGCACCGAGATGGGGGGCAATAAGTATTCCCACTCCTGCTCYGCGCCTCTCAGCATGGGCAACTCCAGAGTGGAAGAGTGTCCAACCCCTCTCAAGGAGACTGGTTCCAGATCCAGAGCAGTGAGTCGAGGTGAGTCCAACTATATCTAGTCAGAACCTCTCAACCTTACACACCAGCTCAGGCTCCTTCTCCACCAGAGAGGTGACATTCCACATCCCTAGAGTCAGCTTCTGTAGCCGAGGATCAGACCGCCAAGGTCCCTGCCTTCGACCACTGCCTAGCACACATTGCACCCGACCCCTACGGCCCCTCCCACAGGTGGTGAGCCCATGGGAAGGGGGATCCACGTCTCCTCTTTCGGCTGTGCCCGACCGGGCTCCATGGGTGAAAGCCCGGCCACCAGGCGCTCGCCAGCATGCCCCACCTCCAGGCCTGTTCCAGAGTGGGGCCCCGGTGACCTGCGTCCAGGCGAGGGAACACTGAATCCATTTATTGTGTTCATCATAAAGGGTCTTTGGGCTGCACTTTGTCTGATCCCTCACCTAGGACCTGTTTGCCTCGGGTGACCCTACTGGGGACATGAAGCCCTCAACAACATAGCTCCTAGGATCACTGGGACACTCAAACCTCTCCACCACGATAAGGTGGCAGCCCAAGGAGAGGCCAAAATACAGTTTCAAAGCAAATTAATTCAGATACAAAACTTTAAATTCAGTTTCAAACCATTAAATTCAGTTTCAATTTAGTAAAGTTCATTTTCAAACCAATGCATTCAATTTCAAACTATGCACATTCAGATTCAATCAGAGCAATTCAAATTCATTTCCTGTTGGCACAAGATTTATCCCATACTTTAAGGGTTAAGTATCTTGCCCAAGGACACAACAGCTGAGATGGCTGGAACAGGGGATTGAACCAGTGACCTCCCAGTTCCAGGACGACTCTTCTAACCACTCTTCCACAGCCGCCCACTGTAATATCTGTGCCTTTAAGGGGTTAATGTTCCAAGTTCCAGTGGGACTAGATGTGTGTGTACCTGGTTTTTTCACCTTTTTAGGACAGTTTCTGGTACAAGCACCAAACTTGTCAGAACCAGTAGTCCTTTTGGGGACAAAAGACTGGTCCAAATATGGTGAACATCATTTTTGGGCTAATGGTTATAAGGTATGGAATGAGTTTAAGTTAGGTTTAGGGTTAGGTATGTATTGGGGGCAGTTAGGTTTAGGGTAAATGTCAGGATTAGGCTACAAAAATGTCTGAAGATAAATGGAAGTCAATACACAGTCCTTATAAGGATAGAAATATAAACTTGTGTGTATGCGTGAGAAAGAGAGCAAAGTCGGATACTGCAGGGTGTTTGGTACTGGCTCATCTTTTTTTACTTGGGAAGACATTAAAATAGCTTAAGCATGACGTGTTTTACTGATAAATTCCTTTAGGCACAATTTACACACATTCCTTTTCCACAACATTATTGCTGGAAAATGTTTTTTTATGTCCCACCCAATAAATGAAGCAGACTTCTGCTTGTTTTTTACTGTACTTAACTTGAGCTCTGTGCGTCTGGTAAACAAACTTTAGGTGTATTTGCTCTTCTCCCAGATCTGCAGCAGTGTTACCGATGTGCCAGAAAGTGGGGAATTTGTAAGGTGTGTTTAATTGAGTTATTTTTCTGTAATTAAGAGGAAAGTGAAGTTGCTTTTCTGCTCTGTAAAAAACACTTAATTGAAAGACTATATGTAAGCAAGTTTGCATCACTGTGTGATGTCAGGGTATGAGTTTTGTTATTTGCAATGTTAACTGTACTTGAAGCGCGGCTGTGGGTCATCAATGGTTAGGGCTGGTATTCTCAAAATGAAGGTTGGAGGTTTGATTCCACCATCTTGCAGTCAAATATGTCTCTGGGAAAGACAGAACCTCTCATTGTCTTCAATGTGTGCCTCATCGATATATGAATGTGATCTAAAACAAGACTCTATAGAATGATTTATTCAGAACAGCTTCGTAGAGATGTGGTTCTGTATTTGTGTAGATGATTAATTAAAGGCACAGATTGTTTTGTAAAGCACTTTGAGCATCTTGGTTGGCTCAGTGCGATCTAAATACAGTTKATTTACTTGCTATATCTAAACGTATAATTAAAATGATATATATTTAAAAAACGAGTCAAACTGAGTAAAGCATGCGGTTCCTGTTGCTCTGCTTATGTYTGAGTATTGTGTAACATAATGAGAGCAGATATTTACTTCACTTCTTTTTCTGTCACATCATTTCCTTTTTTGTGTGGACGTGCGGTCGTTGTGTCAAAAAACACGTTGATCCTCATTTTGCCGCAGGTGTAATAGATAGAAGAAAGAATGATTGGTCAGTTGTGGTGTAAGAGTATGAGAGAGGGTGTGTTATGAAACACTATGCTGCCTCTGTCACTGCAGCAGTCCTGAAAAGGCTTCAGATCCATAAACAGAGGAGGAGGAGAGCTGAAMCGACAACAAAGGACAAAGTGGGCCTGGAGACTGAACTCCACAGAAACAACACTGGATCAAGGTCAACATTTTCTTTTCTGTCAGGATTAAGTGCCATCATTTCTCTTTTCATTATTTTTGCACATTTGAATCATCGTCAGGTCTTACTATTTGCTTCCAGATTTTTATATTTTTTAACTGAAAGTTGTGTTTCAACACACAAACACTACATGGCTTTCATCTGAAATGATTATAACTTTATAATTTCTCATCAAGACAGTGAGTGATATGCATTTGTTTAAGGAATGAACTTCAACTTTAATCATGAATTTGTTTTGAGTTTCATATTTCAGTTTCCAGCTTTTGTTTTATAAACGTAACTAATGTCCGTCCTTCAAATCGAGCTAAACSGTTGGGCTCAGGAATTTAGGCCCTTTTCTGTTCAGTGAGTGGAATGGTTCTCCTACACTCTGCTGACTTTCATCTGGAAATACAGGTTCCCCCATCGGGATGTCATTCTACAGAATGTCTGTTCAATACNATAAATAAATAAATAAATAAATAAATAAATAAATAAATAAATAAATGTGTTTGTTTTACAAATCTAAACTGAAACAAACAAAAGGTGCCATAATTAAAATTAACCTGAGAACAACTTGTGTTTCACTAACATACATTAAATGACTTTTTTTTACAAAAATACCAAAACAAATGATGACGTTTATTATGAAAAGTAGAGTAAACAAGATAGAAGTCGACACCAACTATCGCTGATGTCCCCCATTGTAGCCTTCATTATTCAAATTATTTCATAGGATGAAAGGACGGATGGATGGACGGAGAGCATTTCAGTCCCTGCCTCAGCAGTGGGGGACAAAAAGTGAAAACAACCCCTTTATTTTCAAAATGAAAGAAAAAGATACGTTGAAAAATCTGGAAAAATGTATTATGAATGAGGAGAAATGAAAGCCTGCTGAAGTTTGTTTACAAAGGCCAAACTGAAATGTTTAAAGTTAAAACAAACAGAACAAGTTGGAATAAGCAGAATGAAAGTTGAAACAGTGAAAACAGACACTAACGATCAAAACACAAGCTAAAACAAGCAGAACACAAGCTAAAACAAGCAGAAGAATAGTTAAAAGCTTAAGCAAGCTAATCAGTAACCAAAAGCTGAAATGAGTAAATTCAATCTAAAAAAGTGGCAAAGCGGTATCTAAGCTAAAATTAGCCAATCAGCTGTGAGATTAGGTAAATATCTAAAAGCATAAATTAGCCAAACAGTAGGCAAAAACTAAAATAAGCAGGTCTGAGTTCCTGGTCTGCAGGTTTCTGTTCCTGGTCTGGGTTTTGTCTCCTGAATGAATTTGTCTGTATATTTAGCAGCTCATTTGCCTGAATGTGGTTTACTCATTTGCTTAGTGAAGATATTCAAATCATTCCCTCTGGTCTCATCTCAGATTGAATATGGGATTGTGTTTTTATAATCTGCATGGCTGGAAAAGAAAGAGGAACACAGGCTTGTTTGAAGCTGACATAAAGGGCAAGTGTACTGCTTTTCTCAAACACAACAACAATCCATTCCAAAGGAATCACATTGCTCTCACAAGTCAGAAGCAAAGAGCAGCAAACGGTTCGGCATCAACAGCTTGAGCAACCAGTTTAAAGGGAAAATATGCAAAATCCYCATTTTTAGCTGTTAAATGCATTTTGTTGTCTCAAGGAGTGTAGAAACGTTAAATTTAGTCTTAGTATTGTGTAAATATATTCATTTATTGAGGGGGTCATATTATTCAACCTGTTCAATTTTCTTTATTTTCTATTTCATTTTCTTAACTATTATGTCAAATTATTTGTGACAAACTTGCCAAATAAGGTCTGGACTTACCAGCTACAATTTGTCTTAATTTTCCCTCTGGCACTGGGTCAGACTCTGGCTCCAGCATGTAAGGCTGGATGGCCAAGTCCTCCGTTGTTGACATGTTTGAATTAATTGGCCCCCATTGCCGAGGCAGGGGACTTTAAAATTCTCTCCATCCGTCTGTAACAAATTCAGACAACTGTAACTTTAACATAGAAAGGCTAAAATACACCAAACTTGGTAAGAGTCAGCCATGTTGGATGCCCAACCATACCATGTGGTCATATGACATCATSAAAGCCCTGACAACAGGAAGTGACTTTTTTTGGCTTGGATGGCTCCATCTCTGACCCTCTTGACCTAATAATCAGCAACAAATTGTGTCAGAACACAGATAAGAACTGGATCTCACTTGTTTCTAAGCACAAAGACTTTTAGTGAAAGACGCGGCAAAATCAGACATCCTGTCATTGACAAACATTTGGCTCTAAATTCCACATATTTCAGCCAATCTGAACCAAATTCACTGTAGTTGATCCAAGTCCACCCCACTACAGGAATGCAGTTCAATTTTTGGTGGACGTGGCCTTATTCCTCCACAGCTCCCCCTACAATTATTTTAAAAATCAGCCCCAAACCATGCTTAAACCTAGAATCATGAAATTTGGTCTCAGGACCTATAAAAGTCGCTTGGAGTCATGGTCCAACCCTCACTCACCTGCGCCAAATTTTGTGTGCACCATCAGGGAGACCTGCTCAACATGTTGGTGTAGCAGTTTGATGACATATTTTCAGCCCCGCCCACTCTGCACACAATTGGCTCTAAATCAGACATCTGCGCCAAATTTGGTATGCATCATCAAGGAGACCTGCTTAACATATTAATGTGTTAGTTTGATTATATCACATTAGCTCCARCCACTCAGCACATGATTGGCTATCAATCACACATAAATGATTCAATCTGAACCCATTTTCGTGTGCATCATCAGGGAGAACTGCTTAACACATTTGTATAGTAATTTGACAAGATCACTTTAGCACTTTCAGTATAAACAAACACGCCCATGAATTTCTGACCAGTTGCACAACAATTTCTTATGCAAGAGGGGGTTGCAAAGTTCTCTCTGTGAGTTGCGACAAGAAGGGGTGGAAGACTCAAAGCTGTGAACAAAATGACACAATTTTCGCCATGCAGCTGAGACAATGAGAACCAAACCGTTCAAATGGAGCTTGCAGTGGTCTTTAGTTGTAGACCTTGTAGGTGTTAGATCTTATGGCCAAACATTTCAAGATCACTATTGTTGGATGCCTATTTTCATACAATTTTAAGACACCAACACGGACGTTGGCCTTGCCCGTGGAGCTATGGATGTTGGCCCTGGATTGGGATCAGCCCTGCCCACTGAGCTATGGATGTTGGCCCTGGATTGGGATCAGCCCTGCCCACTGAGCTATGGATGTCAACCCTGCCTGCGGGAGCTTCAGCCATCGGCCTTGCCTGGTGGCCTTCGAATATTGGCTTGCAATGGAGAGAGCTGGAGTGGGGACCTGCTGTTGGGTCTAGTTGTCATCGAGCCAGGCCCGAGTGAGTCATGCCATGCAGTCAAGCAAGGGCTAAAGAGTTAGTTTCAGGAGAAAATAACTCTGTAGACAATGTGGAAGTAATTAAATAAAGGGTTAGTTTCAGGAGAAAATAACTCTGTAGACAATGTGGAAGTAATTAAATAAAGCACTGGACTTTATGAGTGCAAAACTGTCAAGAATGACATCACAGCAAAATCTTTTGATTGGTCTGGTTAAAGAAGTGAAGCAGTTGAAAGTTGCAATACGTGACAGAGATAAAGAGACTGGTAACTGAACTGGAACAAAAAAAATAGATGACCTGATAGATGATACAGATGATACAATAGATGATACACAAGATGAGAGGATTTGTTAATTACTCGACTTGAAGATGAACACTAGACCTACGCAAGAGTTGCAGCAAATGAAAACACCACAGAAGATGCTCCACAAGAAGAGCTGCAAACTCTGGAGCAACAAGTATTGACTTTTTTTTTTTACAAAAAAAACAAAAAAAACCCAAAACAAAACAAAAAAAAACAACAACATTGACATCAAACATGAGGACATTTTCATCTGTTACACCTTGCCTACTAAATCAGATAAATTTAAACCATCTGTAGTTATCAGATTCATTAGCAGGAAATCAAGAAATAATTTAGCAATGCAAGCAAGAAAACTGAAGGGAACAACTGTTTACATTAATGAACATTTAACTAAAAAAATGGAAACATTGCTTGTGAGTCGTGAGGCAAGGTTGTTGAAAAAATAGAAAAGAATAGTAGCAACTTTGACATGAAATGGAAACATTTGGATCAGAGTAAAGGAAGGGTCTCAGGCTAAAATAAAATAATTAAAGGATTTAGAATGCTTTAGATGAGTTCAGGAGGGGAAAAATTACAAAATTAAATGACTGAAACAACTTGATACAAAATGAATTAATAAAACATACAGATAAATGGATACATACATTAAAATATGACATCATATGAATACTCAGAATCTAAAATATGTATGATGTTATTGTTTTAATTTTTCCTGTTATTAATGACTGTGAATATTAAGATCAATTTAAAGATGTTAATAGGTGGTCTCTCTATTATTCACATTATTAACAGAAGTATAAATGCAAATTTATCTAAAATAACAYACTATTTAAAACTGTTAAACAGAACTTTTACTATAATAGCACTTTCAGACATGACTCATTGTTGAAAACATAAATAATATTCATATTGACGGGTATGAAATATGTCACATGAACAGAAGCAGTAAAAGGGGTGGTGGAGTTTCTCTATTTATTAATAAAAATATAAAATGTAAATTAAATAATAAAATGTCAATGATTGTGGATAATATTATGAAAATAATAACAACTGAAATAATAAGAATTCTAAAAACATAATAACTTGGAGCTATTGGAAAGGAGTTCTAACAAAACACTTTTTTGTGTGGAGACTTTAATAAAACAGACTCAAATAATATTAGTATATTTATAAATTCAATGTATAGTTTAAATCTTTATCCACTGATATCAAAACCTGCAAGAATCACAACTCATAGTGCTACAATAATTGATAACATTTTTACAAATATAACAAATGGAGAAGTGATAGGTGATATTTTAATGACTGACTTAAGTGATCACTTACAGTTTTTACAATTTATAAAAATGATCAACACAATACAAAAGTAGTTACAATCAAGAAAAAACATAATAAACATAAAAAGCATTGGATAAATTAAAAGATATTTAAACAAAACAAAACTGGCAGGTGTACTGTATGTTGATGATGTAAACAAGGCATATAATGTGTTTGACTATTTTAGGAGCTCTGTATGAAAAGAATTGTGTGCAAAAAATTATACAAAATATATAATATTGTTAACAAACCATGGATGACAAAAGGGTTGAGAAATGCTTGCAAAAAATTACTTGTATTCARGCTTCTTGAAATTGAGAACAAAAGAATCAGAAGAGAAATAGAAGAGGTACAAAAATAAGTTGGTATGGATTATAAAAATACATAAGGAATATTACCGTGATTTATTAAACTAAAGTAAAAGTGAAATGAGAGCAACATGGCGAGTAATGAATAGTGTTCTGGAAAAATCCTAAAGTAAAATCAGACGTTTCACAATATTTTATGAAGGATGACAATGATCATGATCAGAATGAAATGATAAATAGATTTAATCATTATTTTGTGAATGTTGGCCCAAGTCTTGCAGCTAAAATACCAAAAGTAGATAATACAGTTACGGGTTGTACCAACAGTATTTTCTTGATGGAACTAACAAAGAAGAAATACTGAGTATTGTAAAAAAATGTTGCAGACAAAAGTTCAAAAGATTGGGTGGATAWGGACATGATGTTTGTAAAGGATGTAATGAAATATGTTATTGAGCCTTTCCAAACAATATGAAGATAGCTAAGTTAAGTTCTCTTTATGGTGAGAAATGTGTGTTTAGCAATTACAGACCAATGTCCTTGTTACCATAGTTTTCAAAAAAAATTTAGAGAAATTATTTGTGACAAGATTGGATCAATTTATCGATAAAAAATATTCTAAGTAGAAGTCATTATAGATTTAGGGCAAATAATTCAACATCAATGGCTCTTATGGAATTCATAGAACAAATAACGACTGCTGTTGATCAAAAAACAGTTGAATTTGTTTGGTTAAATATATAGAGCAGGCGATCCAAATAGAATTCGTAAAAATACAAAATTGGTTTAAACTTAATAAACTTTTGTTAAATTTGGATAAAACTAATTATACGATATTCAGTAATAGAAAGAGAACTATTGATTTTCCATTTAGAGTCAAGGATGATGAGATTTGCAGAGTCAGTGAGGTGAAGTTTTTGGGAGTCATCAATAAAAAACTGACATGGAGACATAAGTTAAGAATGAAAATAGCCAAATCTATTGCAGGAATGTACAAAGTAAGGGAGTTATTTAATGATAAATTTCTGTTTATGTTACATAACGCAATGATTGTTCCACACTTGATCTACTGTATTGATGTTTGGGGAAAAGCATGTAAAACATTTACCAATCCTATTTGTTTTACAGAAAAGTGTTGTAAGAATTATTACTAGAAAACATCAGTCACCCATCAAATACATTATTTTATCAATTGAAGGTATTGATGTTCTATGATTTGGTTGAATATAGTATTTTTATCGGTTATGTATACGGCTCATAAAAATACATTACCATCCAACATGCAATTAAATTTTGTTAAAAGAGAGAGATGTTATTATCAAGGGGATAGCGATGTTTGTAAAACCTATATTTAGAACCAGTTTGAAGGAACAGAATACTTCAATCCAAGGAATACGTTTATGGATCAATCTGGAGAGTGAGGTTAAAATGTCAGATCAATCTTTATGTTTAAGAGAATGATCAAAATGGGTTTGTTGAAAAAATAAATTGCACAAATTAGTTAAATAAATAGTACAAATTGTTGCTCGAGCAGTTAAAATTA